GGGGGGGGTGGAAGTGGAGCAGCCACAGCCATGGAATTAGAAATAATATGATCATTGCAGGGCTGATTTTAAACACTGAAGTGAACTTCCATAGGAATAACGTATGACTGATAATGCCACTACCACCATGATGTAATAAGGGTGTGTTAATGCAGTTGATTCCAGTCAGGAAAATGCAAGTTAAAGCAGATTTTTTTTTGCCTGTTGCTATCTTGACCCTGCTCTGTAAGAAAGAATTTATAATGCTGTCCATGTTTGAAATTTGTGTAGAAATGGTTTAGAAAACTAGGGCATATACTTTCTACAACTTTTCACACTCACATACCCCTTGTCCCAATGTATTATTAAGCAATTTAGGTGGCCACGTAGGTCCTGATCCTATTTGTCTGGTAAGTGATGAAAAAATGTCAAGCTAATTGATCTAAGAAAATATCTACCTATCTCTCTATCTATCTTTGGACTGTCAGAACAATACAAAATAATGTGTGTGTTGTATCAGGGTATTTTTCATGGGGGTTGCATTTTGATGCCAGATTTATCCTCAGATCAGTATAAAATTGTTATAGTAGTTATCGTCAATATCTGTATTTCTTAAAATTTTGAATTACTGTTCCTTCAATGAAGCAAGGCATATAAAATGCATATATTAGTGGGAACTATGTATTAAAATGGGCATGTTGGCAAGGGATGTGTTCTCCAAAAAAGGTAATAGAAGAAAAAATCTTAATCAAAATGCATTCATTAGACAGAATTTCTTCCAAAAATTGGGAAAATTGTACGCAAAATTCATATGAATATTCTGATGAAGAGAGCATGTGCAAAATGGTTGAACATTCTGTACAATGAGTAAAAACATATGACTAAAAAAACAAACTAAGGCTTTGCTCTAAGAACTACTCCAACAGAAGAAATATCTGTAAGCTTACAGTTTTAATTTTGGTAGAAGTGAGAGAAGAAGGGGAGGATGGAGGGATAAGGGACTTTCCCTCACTGAACACTCCTTAACATTATCACTGCTGCTCTCCGTAATAGATTTTTAACACCAACATTTTCATATGATCTTTCTTCTAAAACAAAACCTGAAGAAAAAAATCTGAACATTAGAAAAACAAGAGCCTAAGATGAATTAAAGTCGACAGGTGTATCCATTCTGAGGTGGTGTCGTATTTTGTGTGTTGGATTATGACTTTGAGAGGCCAGAGTTTGAATCCCCACTTGGCCATGAAAATCTTCTTCATGAACTTGAGCAAATCATCTCTTAGCCCAAAGGGAAGGCAATGTCAAGCTTCCTCCAGGTAAACCTTGCCAAGATAGCCTTATGATAGGCAGCCATAAATTTAAGTTGACTTGAAGATATGTAACATTAAAAGCAACACATATGAGAAGGGGACACACATCATATAAAATCTAAATGTATGAAATACAACTTCCCCCATCTTCCAGAAAGAACAAAAGGTGTCTGCTCACTTGCATTTGAAATGTGTAAATGTAACATTTGCCCTTATCTAGACATTTCAGTTTTGAACCTGTCAAATGACAGCAAAATTCAATTTCAGCTTCTGCTTTAGAATTGTTAATGATAAAGATGTGTGATATAACAAGAAAACAATTTCTCAACATAAGACAAGCAGGGATCTGCTGCTTTTTACTCACAAAGAGGTGACACTAATCCACAGATTTGGAAGGTGGGGGAGGGTGAAAGCTCAGTGCCATGCAAGAAGAGGAACGTGTGTACAGAAAGTAAAAACAGCAAGTGCCTGAGTATTCCTGGATGTGGCTTTTATTTTATAGACATTGGCTGAGATCCTAAATCAGCTTCTTAGGTAAGTATACTTAACCAGTATATAACCTATCAATAGAAATCATTTACAGATATGTAACTCTGGGTAATGCACTCCTGAGATAGCATACACCAACCAATACTTGCTAGCAATCAGTTCTGCAGCATATCCCAA